TGGTCAGCGATGCCGGTCGCCAAAAGCTCCGCGCAAGCGCACTTCGACGTCGGTCAGCAAACGGGGTGACACGACAAGTGTCCAAACGGTCACACTGTTGGCCGCGAGCGTGGSTCAAGTTCAAACATTATTTATTTAAAAGGATTATGAAATAAAAATGTTTCAATATGTTTCTGATATTGTAGTAGTAGAAATGTTGTTCATTTTTTTATTTTTGTAAAAAGTATTAATATATTTTTTAAAGTTTTGATGTATCGATTAAAGTTGGTCTATGAGTAGGGGGTGTGAGGGGCTGCCCCACACGGCCCTGTGATGTATTCAGTTTTAGCACCCATCGTTTTAGAGATCTAGTTGCGCCTATGGTAGGTACTAATATTTGTATATTATACTTTAATCAATGATGAAATCCAATAAAATAATAAAATAATTGTTATGTATTTGCTAACGTAAATGATCCACAACTATACTAAATTTTGGATCGTTGCATTAATATAAATGCAGCAATTAAATGTTAATCAGTATAACTACAGTATATAGGTATGAATGATTATGACGTGTTTATTGTAGAAACAACATACGTAAACCAAATGTCGTGCGAGACGCATACGTCACGTATGGTAGGACAATCCCCCACCATATATATATATACATTATTTAATACGTAACACCTCTTTCCTTATAAGTGAAATTTGATTTGTTATAAAAATATTTTAATATTATACAATTCTATTTTTTTTTTTTTTTATGATTTAAATTTACAATGTATTCTAATAATTATGTATTTCAAACTAATCTATAACATTGAATAATAATAATAATTATTATTATTATCTGCAAATGCATAATTCATTATTTATAATTAGAAGGAGAATAACGTTGAGGGGTCTTTCTTATCCTGGAGGGTCTAGGAGTTTGTGTATCAATCGATGCGATATTATGTGTTGGTGGTTCAGATTTATTAGAATCATTATTGGGTAAATCTATCATGCTGGTTGCAGGGGACAGCGAGTTGTTTATTTGGTTGTGTGGCCATATCTGATCAGTGTGTCTTATCCATTCTGAACCCTCGTCTAGTATGATGTTATGAGTGTTTTGACTTATGTTTTCTGTTATTTTTCCTTTTTGTCAATTTTCATTTTTATTTCGATAATCCTTARCTAATACCAAATCACACTCTTTTACATTAATATCTCTTTTTCCGGAATTTTTTATTTGTGTAATTTGGTTATTAATAACTACTTCTTCGTATTTGGGATTAATAAATCAAAAATAGTACGTGTTGAGCGGCCAAACATAAGTTTTGCTGGCTTTTCATTTGTGGTTGAGTGTACAGTATTTCTATACATCAATAAAAAWTTATTCAAATGGTGTAATGATGTTGAACATTTATTAAAAAATTGCCTAACTATTTTTACTCCAGATTCGGCAAATCCATTTGAGGCTGGCTGGAAAGGTGCCCCTGTCAAATGCCTGATACCTAGTGTTTTGCAATATGACTGAAATTCATCGCCATTAAAACATTTTGCATTATCAGTTGTTATTGTTCTGGGAATGCCAAAACGTGCAATTAACTCAGACAGTTTTGTTATGACCGTTTGTGCTGTCATCGAATTTACTTGAAAAACTTCTAACCATTTTGTGGTTGCATCGACAATAATTGAGAATGTTTTGTTTTTGTACGGATCTAAGAAATCTCAATGCACTCTCGTCCATTGTCTTTGTGGCCATTTCCACGGAGTTAGTACTGACTTAGGAGGGTTAGGTCTTGCATTTATGCATTCATTGCAGTTTCGGGCCATATCCTCAATTTCTTTATCTATACCAGGCCACCAG